CAAATTAATTGATTATCGGATCCTTCTAAGCAACACAAACTAAGGTGTAACAAGAGTTCTACGAAGAATTTCAACCAAAAAAAAAAAAAGAGTTCTACGAAGAACTATAATGTGGTTTGATGATATTTTTGGGGGTAAGTTTATGAAAGCATGCAATTTTTAAAAATTCATTTCTTACGAAATGTGAAAGTCCAATCTCACAATTAGAATTTATCTTAGTAATTTTTTAGAATCTGAAAACTTCGGCGAGAAAATCACTAAAACGATAGATCTCACGAGAGTCTTTATTAAACGGTTAGAAAGCTGTTGCAAATACAAATGTTCGTCAAATAATTTTTCGATTTATTTTTTTTGTGAGTACAATGAACTATATATAGTCTTTCTAGATAAAATGGGACAGCTAATAAGATGAGTTTGACATATTAAACAATATATCTAATTTATGCTCATTATATCATTAAACTCATTTTGTTTATGAGTTTAATGTCATTTTGGGTCTATATTCAGACTAGACCTTTGTAAACTAGCTTTGATTTTGTTAGAACGCCGCAGAGTTAATTCTCGTCGCCATATCGATCTCATAGAGTGAAATCCAATCCTTACATGAAACATGATTTTTTCGTTTTAATCTTAAAGAGAAAGAAAAAAACTCTAACATTCACCTATAAATCTTAATAAAAAAAAATTAATCTCTAAAATAGGTAAAGGACCGGATTTGGTTAACTTTGAATTGTGAGAGTATTTGGACCATGGTTTAACACATTAAAATAAGTCATTCAACCAGTAGATCACTATAATAAATTAGTTAAGTTATTAACTTGTTGGTTTATAAGAGTTATAAAAGTATGGTTTTTAATAAACCAAATTGTATTATATATTATGTGATGATTTAAAACTTGTGAGTTAACAATCAACGCGAAGTGGATTAGTAGTGGTTACTCGTATCGTCTCCTCCAATATTTATTTACTAGATTTAGATCTACGCCAAACGTAGAATTAAATATTTTAATATATTTTCTAACTGATTTATAATATTTAGACGTGTATTATAATACTTATAACCTATTAAATGATATGTATGGTGTATAAAAGTAATCAAGTTAAATGTTGATCAAACAATTTTGATGTCATATGCTCTGATCAACTTAGAATAAAAATATTAAAATTAATACAAATGTTATTTATATCAATTAATTTGAAATGTAAATAAATTTTTATGATGTGTAAATTATAGAATATACAATAAATCAAATATTTTTTTTTAGATTTATATGAATTTGTCGGACATAACAAACAAAAAATATATGTTTTTAATAATAAAATGTAAAAATATTTGTAAGTGTAGTTATCATCTACAAATAAATAAGAGAAATTTTAAAAAATGCAACACTTTTGAAATCTTTACAAAAATGTCACATTTTTAAAATTATATTTTCTTTATATTATTTATGTTTGAGTTAATTATGTTCTATATGAGTTTAGTTAGGAGGGTTTAGGAGTCAAAACATTTTTTAATGTTTAGAATTTTAAGATATATGTTTTAAACATCTATAATTAGT